CCACCCCCACCACCTCAAAACCCCCCTCCGCGCCTCGACACCCTATCCCCTTATCCCCTAAACTCCAGCTCCCGCCGCGTCCGCTTGACCATTAGGTCGTGATGTCCACCGCCTCCGCGCAGCGCAGTGCTCCCCCGACGATTGACAGGATCGGGTGGTGGGGTCCCACTCCGTCCCAGCCCCGCCTTGGGACATTAAGCGCGGTGAAAGAGCGCAAGCGCGCCCAGAAGTCCACTACTGCCCGAGCGCGGGCGTATTCCAGGGGGGTTGCTGCTGCTGTTGCTGCTGCTGCTGCTGCTGCTGTTGCTGCTGCTGTTGCTGCTGCTGTTGCCGTCCCCGGTCCCGCGATGGGCCCCTGCGTTTGATCCTCGAGTACCGGCGCGTTCAGCGGCGGCCCCTCGTGCGGTCTCACTCCGTTGGCCAGGTGAAAGAAGTCCGTTATGTATGTATGTATGTATGTATGTATGTATGTATGTATGTGTGTCTGTATGTCAGGCGTGTCTGGATGCTCTGCCTGAGGAAGTGGAGGCGGAGTACGAAGGGGAGTCGAAGGGCGCGCGCAACGGCGGCGGAACCCGAATGGTGGAAGGGGTGGCGGCGGCGCCGCCATCATCGGCGGCGGCAACGCCGTTGACCCGCGGGTCGGCTTGGCGCTGCGAAGGGCCCTGCCGCCGTAGCTTCCACACCGCCTGCGTGTCGCCAGCTAAGCTAGATAAGTACGAACAGGTACGGCGGTGAAGAGGAGGATGAGAAAGCCGGCGGGTGGCTGTATACAAAGTCCCGTGTGTTTGTGTGTATGTGTATATCTGTGTATGAGTGTATGTGTGTATATCTGTGTATATGTATGTGTGTATTGGGCTTTCCTTATTTCCTGTCGTAATTCCGATTCGTGTTCTGAAGATAGATCCAAATATGGAGAATGTGGCGAACCTGTGAACCTGCGGGATGGTGGGATGCCACAGCAGCAACAGCCGGTTGCGACCCCGCTGCCACCACCCCGTCCTCCTGCCCCACCAGCCGGCCCACCAACTCGGCTCTTTCGCTCGCCCCTCCACGCAACCCGTACGCCGATCCCCTACGATCACCCCGATGCCCCCCCGCACACGGGCCCCCTCGCATGTCGACTCAGACCCGAGTCATCTGCGGACCCTGTCTACGAGACTCCCACCCCTGCGCCGTATGTGGCCGGAATGCCGCGGATGCCTCCGAAACCACCGCCGGGTTGATCAAATGCAGCCTAGTCGCCTGCGGCCGCTGGTATCACCTCGAGTGCGCCACCGCACACCCGCTAACGAGGGTCACGGCCGCCGCCGCCGCCGCCGCCGCCGCCGGGGGCTCAACCGGCCGTGGCCG